AATCCAAACCTTTACACACTGGACAATCTTATTGGTCTTATGTCACATTTTAATTCAAACAAATTCTCTGACTAACTGAGCCATGCAACAATATTGGCTGCACTACAATATTTACATGGGAAATTATGTGTGTGTGTGTGTGTGTGTGTGTGTGTGTGTGTGTGTGTTTCGTGAAAAATTCATATCAAATGAACTTCCAAACTTAAAATTTCTCACTTTTAAACACTTTAAATTAAAATAAAAATCAATTGTAGGCTTAGTTCTAATAGAATACTAATAGAATAAAGCTATCTGATTTGATCCAACAAAACAGGATCTGTGTTCCATGAACACATGATGAAATATTTGGTAACCATGACAACTAAATGGAAGAAATAAAATATTCAAAACAGGAGTCATGGGTTGCACCTAGGTTCTAATATTTCCTAAGTAATGAGCTCTAGCCCAGGATTACACAACCTGACATGTAGTTATTCCTGCAGATCTGGCCTCAAATCCAATTAGAAAACTATAGGTTTCTATGATATCAAGATTTCTATGATAAAATCCAAATATTACAAAACTAAGTGCATCTTGACTTGGGTGAGTGTAGAAGTATTCAGGATCAAGTGCTAAGTAAGACCATGGATTTCCTTCCTACTCTTAAGTAATGTTATACACCTTCTAGTGTGATGTTATCTAGCAATCTCATGGATGTCTATCAACTTTCTTCAATTTTGATTATTTTGGGCTCAATATGTACTTACCTTCCTTCCCACAGACCCCCCACTTCTGCATAAAATTTCAGTAGATGTTTATCAACTATACTTTCTTATCTGTTGTATAGTACTATGTCCATTAACTGAATGAGTTTTGTGGTTTAATGATGGTAGATTATCTTCATTCTCCCTCATACATTCAATATGTTGGTTAATTCATCAATGGATATCTCATTTCCCCTCTCAGATTGGTAATTCAACACTCCAACTCTGTATTTTATTTTCTAATGCCAATGTTTTTCTTTGTCTACTGTTCCCTATGTGTTAAGCTACTTATCCTCAGTGGGAGTTTGTAGAGGAAACTCATTTTAACTCAAGAATAAATATGCAAAATAAAAATATTGAAACCTAGTGTCTACATATGAGAACTTTATCTATAGTTAGAGTAGCTCACAAGTCCGTAGTCAAGGATATTCTTATTTGGGATTCGCTCAATAGTAATTGCAAACAGGAATTTTAATTTGACATTACAATTATTATTATCAGTCTTAACTGCTATTTTAAATGACATGTCATTTTTTAAGAGGACACAAACTCAAAAACATTTGACTAAATATATGTTCTTATCTTGACTCAGCCCACAAGACATTGAGTAATAAAGAAATTTTATAAGGACCTTCTGAAAAGCATGTATGGAATCACAGGAAAGTCTGGGGTACTATTTTTCTTGATCCCCAGAATGTTGAGAAAATTAACCAACTTCAACAGAAATAAGTACTGTTTTTATCCAGTTTCTGGCATGAGCCCTCCTAAAATTCTTCAAAGAACTCTCTCGAAACCTCTTTGAGGACCTCACTACAAATGTTTTGTAGCTTTTGTATTTTGGTCATTAGTATTCAATACAATTTAAACAAAAGCATTCGTGGTACAGTGTTTTGTAAATGACAGCTGATATATGCCACATTGTTTGGAATGCTCAGGAAGCTGAAGAATACAACACACACTATATAAGAGGGTTTATTAGATGGAGCAGTCAACTTGTGTTTGGTCAGTTTGGTCAGTACTCTGCCTGGAGGTAGTTTTGGTCTTTTGAAGACACCATAAATGCCATCAAAAACAATACAATGGTGAGCGGCCATTTCAACATCATGTGCCTTTTCCATTTCTGTAAGATATGTGTATGCTCCCCTTTCAGGTTCTCCTTGCCCCTCTCATGACTGAGGAGCCTCTCTTTTCCGCAGGGTGGATATGTAGTACAACAGGCTCACAGGTTTGAGGAAACTGGCTCAGACCAGTAGTCAAGGATTTCAAGTACGTTACTCCTTAAGAGCCAAACTTGAGTCTGCCTGAGGTCCTAACAACAGTTGCTATCAGATTTCCTAGTCAATGATAGAATTACAGATTGTTCAAGTCTGTCCGATGACCTAGCAACAGGAGCTGGCAGAGTTCCTAGTCCATGTCTGAGTTCCTGAGTTGGCCTGAGGACCTAGCAAAAGTCACTGTCAGAGTTCCTGATCCTGCAGAGTCTGCCTAAGGACCTAGCAACAGTCCTGGTCAGAGGTCTTGATCACCTAAATTTTATAAGAGTAGAAAAAATGACCCTACATAATTTATTGGACAGTTATAGAATTTCAGTATTACACTTTGCAAAATATTTTTTTTCAAAAGTCATATGTAGAAAGTGAAAGTTTAAAAGTTTTAAAAGTTAAAAGTTACACATGTGGGGTATCACACATTTTAGGGAAATATACAAATTGCATAAACTTGTATTTTAGGATTGTTTATTTAGTCAAATCATGTACTATCATTTGTGTTTTTCAAATTCCATCTATCTCATAAAATGTATATTAAAGTAGAATTTTGTGACACACATATATACAGGTATAATTATTATTTCATAAATCATAAAATCAATAATTTGATTAACAAATTTTTAAAGAACATAAAAGTTAGAATGAATGACTTAATTTAATTTAATTCCCACAATGTATTCTTGATTGCCAGATAGTAATAACTATCATTGGCAATTAATTCAGAAACTACAATGAATTTTAAAAATTTATTTATTCAGTTCTTTGATATTGGAATTCCTACTTTATGCAAACACAAAAACTTATAATCAAATCAAAGTAAAGAACAGAATACTAATTTGCTATTCTAATCCAAATGAAATATTTCTTCTCAGTCTCAGGTGCCATTTCGTGTCTATTATATCCAGTTTCAAGCACTGAGGTCATCATGTGCTTGCATTTTGTTGAAAAGCATGGAAAATGCAGAAATATGTGTGCAATATTCTGTAAGTGTAATATCTAACTTTAGGTAGTTATGAACATGTTTATTAGCCTGCCTTTTTCATAAGAAAATATCTAACACCTGTTTTCAAGAATCAACATTCCTTGGTAGGAAGTCTCTCTTCATTTAAGTACAGAACCACAATTTGAGGTACATAGAATTCTTAACTAAATTTTCATACCATATTTCAGTCAGAAATGTCTATGAAGTGAGTGGCAAGCATCACATATATAAGACATCAGTTTTCACATCCAAAGTTTTGTGTTACCATCCTCAGGGAGAAATGAAGAAATATATTCACAAAACTAAAGACTTCATTTTGACATTATATTTATTGGAAAATTAACAATACTTATGATAATGAACATAAACTGTCTGTTAGATATAAGTTCATTAATTGTGAAGTATCTTGGTGTACCCAGAATGCTGACTTAGTCTTCATATATAATTCTAGAAAGTAAAATATCATTATTTGAAGAATCTTTAAAAAAGAAACAATATTACATTTACTAGATATCAAATTAGAGATTGGCATTTGTCCTTTGCAAGAAGACTCTCAAAGGAAATGATTAATGAAAACTCTGGTATATTAACCATTCTGAAGTGGAATGCCACATGCCCATCAAAATATCATCATCACAAAACAGAGTTGATAGGTTAAAAGAAAATTAGTGTGTGTGTGTGTGTGTGTGTGTATTGATTGAGTAGAAAATAATTGGTAGTGGAACTCAATGGACTTTCAGTATTGTGTATTTCCTCCACATTCACAGAACACTTAAGATACTTAATTTAAAAATCAATAAAGTTATGTAGGTCTAGACAAAAAAGATTTGAGGGATTCATACTTCAGAAACAGCCATACTTCTAATGGTCATCTCTCTTTACTCCCTTATTTAATAAAGCAAACGAAGCCAGTCTCAGTAAAGAATTATGGGACATCTATGTGAAAATGTCTGCTGCCTATGGAATCCCAAGAGAAAATATACAAGATATACTCAACAATGGTAAATATTTGTGTTTCCCAATGAGGATATTGATCTGAAATAAGAGAAAATAATGAAATTTCTTGATTTCCACTTCCATTCTTGAAAAACAGAAATAAAAATTATTGAGTAAATGAATGAAATTTTTAACATTGTATATCTTGTACTTCACAGACACCTGTCCTCAATGAACCTATGGATTTGGTGAGTTAAAGTCAAATAAAAATCTTTGTCTGTCAGAATTCAATATAATAAACAAAATAAACATTTAATGAAAATATTCTATCCAGAAAAAAATAAACAAGTATATTATGGGAAAACTTTTGCAATAATACAAAAAAGGTAAAAACATTAAAACATCAGGAAAAACAAAAACTATACCTGAAATCATTAAGAAAATATCCCGGGCATTTGGCTGGTTAAGCATGTGGCTGGTTAAGCTTCAGGCTTTAGAGCAGCAGTTCAGCTGAGATTCATTCGGGATGAGGACACAGAAGCTTCCAGTCTGAGGAAACAGGACCAGCTGAGGATCCGGCGAGCGCTGGAGAGGGGGCTCCTGAAGACGCTGCAGAAACTGGATGAGTATCTGAATTCGCCCCTCCCTGATGAAATTGATGAGAACAGTATGGAGGACATCAAGTTTTCCACACGTAGATTTCTGGATGGTGATGAGATGACATTGGCAGACTGCAACCTGCTGCCCAAGCTGCACATTGTCAAGGTGGTGGCCAAAAAATACCGCAACTTTGATATTCCTAAAGGAATGACGGGCATCTGGAGATACCTGACAAACGCCTACAGCAGGGATGAGTTCACCAACACCTGCCCCAGCGACAAGGAGGTGGAAATCGCATACAGTGATGTCGCCAAGAGACTTACCAAGTAGACAGCACTTTTGAGAGAGATGCCTTCAGATCCCCCAGAATCCGCTTTCCTAACAGACTGCTCTGCCTCCTCTAAAATAGAAGTGTATTTTTTTGCATGAACATGCAGTTACTCAAGACTAGGATTAAAGGTAGACAAAGTGTAGTAGTTATCTCCAATACACACTCCTAAGCAGTATTATTCTAAAATCCTCTACCCGGCCCCCCTGCCCTGCCCATCTCCTCCAGTTCGGAGGCACTCCACCACAAGCTCGTCACACGAGAGGCAGTTTGCCATCCCTCTGGAGCCCCGACCAGCATGTCCATCCACTGTGTAGATGGCAAACTTGAGGTCCAGTGGTCAACCATTAGAATAGTAGCCGTGGCGTCAGTGGGCCCACGCTGGTGTGTAATGCATGGTACAAAGAATATTTATGTATTGGGGAGAATTGTAATATTGAGTAAGGAATATGGACGGGTTGCTACTGTGTTGGACATACTATTTCAGTGTCCTCTGCCCTGGAGTGTGCTGAGGGTGTTGCTGTCTGGGAAACTGCCTTCCATAGAGAGACTGCTGGGTTCTTGGTAGATACTTAATTTTGCCCAAATGTGTCCTTTGTATAAATTGTAACATCCGATACTATGTAGAAACCGAAAGACTGAGGGCTGGGAAGACATCCTCAAAATGATGAGAGAAGATGGGTGGGTTCTCTGTTATGTTATCTGCTGTGGGTTTCACCCGGGGCCTTAGATACATTTGCAACAGTATTTCTGCCTTTATTGTCACAG